TTTGAAAACACAGTAAGTACTGCCTCTGACAGTCATAGTTAAGGGTTTTGGGGTGGCCAACAAGATTCCTTAGGGGGGGCTGCCACCCCTCTGGACACGCCCCTGCTTGGGAATCCTCAAAGACTGTTCTCCAGGAAAAAGTTCCAGTCTGATGCATAATACTTTCTTACTTTGTTTTGCAGCCTTTGTGCTAAGCTAAGCTAACAGGTTGCAGGGTATGGCATTTTATTTTGAGTATTAAAAGTGTTTGCCACCCTGCAGTGAAACTATTAACCATATAAATGAGCATGCAAACTTTTTATTTACCAGTAGACGTTCTAACCCTGACCTAAAGTTATCAAATTTGCAAATACAAGCAGCTGCTATTGGTCAGATTAAAAGAGCTGCTCATTTATGTCACAACGAGCCAGTTGATTTGATTTGATCTGATTTGGAAAAGCACTTCAAGGCCTTTGGGCACAGAGATATATCAGCACACTTGGAGGGATTGTATCAAGCCTAAAAACTGTTCTTAGCTCAGAAAAGACTTCAGGATGAGGCTTTAAAGCGGGGTGTCAGGGTTACCAAACTTAGCCTTCTGCCACTGTTTCTTGAACGTACAAGCCGCTGTACCCGAATAAAAGAAAGGCAGATGCAAGAGACCAACTCTGACGGCTGATTCAGCAGTCTCAGTCCTTGTCTGTTGCTGTCTCCGCTACGTCCCTCAGAGCAGCTTCCTTATGTAAGGGATCTGTTTGCCTGCAGCTCAGGGACATTACTTTTGAATGAGGTCTGGGGCGGCTGGAGTGGCAGGAAAGCAGGCTTATCGTCTGATCTACACGACTCTGCAAGCAGGAGGCAAGAAGTCACAATATGACACCACGTCAGGAAACTAGACTCGGACTTAAGGCTCTAATAATCCACAACTAAAACACTAAAAAAACACTTAAAATATAACTGTCAATGAGAAGAATGATGGGGATTATCACTGGAATGAACAGCAGGTTTTATGATTCCAAAACTTAATCATTAAAGAATAGAACCCTTGTTTTTAAAATGACCCTTGAAGTAGAACATGTTAGACAGTTGAGCACAGTTCATTTATTTATTAAACATAAGTTGTAGAAACATAAAGCCTTGTCAACTTTAATATACATTATGTAATATTTTACAAATAATTTACAACATTGCAGTACATTAAAGAGAAAGAAAAGGCCACATTAAACTTGGTCACAACTATCAGAATGACTCTGTTGTGCATATACAGTATGTACCATCCCAAGCCAGACATTTATATTACATTATGAAAGACTTGTTCTCTTTTTTTTATTCTCTGATATTTAACGTTATACCTGTCGTACAGTGACACACACAGACACAAACAAGTTAACAAAAATAAAATATTATTTGAGATTTTTTTTAAACACTGAGGACACAGGTTGAGGTTTTGCAGACAGGAAGTCTCTTTTGTTACGGGTGTTGTTATCAGCTGTTAGCGGGACTCAGTGCAGAAGCAGAAATCACAGTGAGACAAACACAGTTCAGTGGAAAGAGAACACGACTCACCGCAAATACATGGAGACAGGTTGCATGTGTTACACTCATGCCTGTAAGAGTCTGTGATGGTTATTTTTTTAGTCTTTTTTTATCTCAGTCTTGTTTCCCTCCTTTGCATCATAACATCATTGTAAAAAAAAGTAAAGTTATATTTAACCTGATGTTTCAACAAAAATACATTTAGGGACAACGTTTATAACCTCTTTTATTGGTTTACTTTTTTTATGTATGTTAATTGAAAAGAAATAATGTACGCAACCAATCACAGCCTTTCATACCAGCGAAAAAACTCATCATCATCCATTCATTCCAACAATAATTTACTTTTAAGCATCAAACATTTAAAGGTCACATATCCTCCTCCTCCTCTTCAGTGTAAATAAGTCTCAGAGCTCCTCAAAACATGTGTGTGAAGTTTCTTGTTCTAAATCCACTCTGATCCTGTATTTGATCATGTCTATAAACCCCTCTATTTCAGCCCTGCTCAGAACAGGCTGTTTCTGTGTCTGTACCTTTAAATATGTAAATGAGCTGTGGCTGACCACGCCCCCTCTCTGGAAGTGGAGCAGGCAGAAGACGGAGAGGATGGACTTTTCTCATCATTGGGGGGGTTTGTAGACGGACTAGAGACACATGTTAGAGTTAGAGGAACATGGAGAAGAGGATTTTACAGAATATGTGACCTTTAATTTAACCTTTTTTAACAGGACCTTAAAAAATATAATGTGTTTGCATAATATGAAAACTGAAGGTAACTGTCTGTTTTTGTTCTACTATTTAAATTGGTATATTCTGTATCATTTCAGATTTTGACGACGTGAGCCACACATTGTTTTCTCAGGACTGAAAGATTTGAAAAAATACTATTTACATAATATTCATCTTAAATTTCATATTTGAATCCGTTCAATTTCAGTTTTCATTCAAATCATCTTTCATTTTGTTGTTTTTTATTGTCATTAATTCTATTATTGGTCATTTGAAACATCCACACTTCAATAAAACAGCTGTTCACTTGTATGAAGGGGGGACAAGTCGGGGGGGTCACAGTCATCAATTTAACTCTCCTGAGCAGCCCAAAAGCAAAAAAAAACAGAGATCAATGTGATTACACTCAAATGTAAAATTAAACTATGGGAGCTTCCAAAGAAACGGAAATGTCTTTTTTACTTTTCATATTTGTTTCCTCTCAAAACACCAACCAGGAAGACTACTTACTGTACATTCAATACATTTTACGATACATTATTTCTATGTGCAACCAGTCAATTGCATCCCTACAGAGCAGATATAAATACACAACTTCTTCTTCTATGGTTCTTTAGATGCATTTGAAGGTGTATTAACAGAATGAGGTTGTGATTAAGGCACTATCCACTTTGTATGCACAGAGATGAACAACCTGACAACTCCCCTTCGCCGACGATACTCTGCTATTCATGCGTTATTGCTTATTGTTGATTTACTGCCAGACTGCATGTTTCTAAGTGACCTCAGCTGGTTTTCTAAACACAGTTAAGACACGGCTTAACCTACAAAGCATTTCACATCACAACTTACATTTAACCGCTATGAGTGTGGTTGTGGTTAGCATTAGCTTAGCATTATGTTGGCTTTAGGTTTACATAACTTATAATTGCTATACGATATCTTTTCACTGTTCAAGATGTTCAGACCAAAGCTCAATACACATTTCTGCTGTTTTCATGTTGCATCTGAAAGAGTCAAACCATCCAAACGGGGACGGGGTTCTTAAAGAGACAGCAGCTCAGGCTGAAATTAGGGTTTTTACTGACTCCAGTATCAGATAAATGAGATCATGTGAAGCTGCTCTAAAGGTTTCACAGACTGACGACATGAAAGGTGAACATGAGGAGGAGACGGGATCTTTAATTTCCGTTGGACGTTAAAGATGTGTCGCTTTCTCTCCTGATCAAAGATTGTCCGCAGAATGAATGAACATATAATGTGATGCCGTTTTCTCCAAGCAACGCACACACACACATAAATCCATCCTCGCCATTGAAATGTCTATGACACGTAAAACAAACAAGGAGAAAGGATGACACATCTGCATGTGTAATCATCAAACACATGAAGATCGAAGTGGATCAGGATTAAAGATTTATTTTATCAAAAATAGATCACAATTGAAGATTGTCAAAATAATCATGGCAACAATAATTTGCAATAAAAAAATAAAAATGAAATCAGAATGCGTCCACACTGAAGTTCCTCGGAGCACAGACGTCACTCCCACTATTGCTTTTTTCTTCTTTTTGCATGAAATGAGACGAGTTGGGGGGGCGAGCCCAAGCTGAACTCTGTGGGTTATAATGAAGCATGAACATGTCCTTCAGCGGATGTTTTGTGTTGGTGAATATCGAGTGATGGTGTGGAAATCTGACCAAAGTCAGAGTCAGAGGACACTGCTGCACTCACAAGGGATTTACTGTATTATTACTGTTGTTGTTGCACAGTTAGCAGAAAACGTTAATCATCACAACTTAATGCCTCGTCACCGCTCATCAGTAACTCTGTCAGACAGACAGAGGTCTCCCCCGGCTGTTTTTATGTCCGAGCCAAGCAGAAATACACCGAGCTGCAGAGCTGATGTTAGAGGTCTGATGGAAGTTTTACAGACTTCAACTGATGATTATTCATAATCAGGAAGTTAAACATTTTGGGGAAATCAGATGAGAAAACAGACATCAAATAGTTTTGACCATCTCCATAAAATATATCAGTAGTTTTGGTTTGTTTCTCTCGCGGTCTGAACTCTCAGAGTCAAGGGAAAAAGCTCAATTAAAACAATGCAGACTGAACGTTGTTTTTAAGCTAGCAGCTCATCTTCCTCTGACTGTTTTCAGATTCTTATTATTCATCTGAACTTAAAGGGATTCCATTTTCCCCCTCAGGACTGGACGGACTCTAGTTCAGGATTTCTCTGAGTTAGACTAACCAGCCCCTCTTATTGCCTTTAAATAAAGAAAACATATATTCAAACAGCCGTACTCGTTCACAAGCATGTTTTACTATTTGGCAAATAAATTAAAAAAGTTGTGCAAACACGATCATGTCAGGCTCTACGCTGCTTTGCTGTATTTAGTCTGGACGGTTTTAAATTAATATATGAGAGTCGTCACTAAACCAGAGTTTTAAACGTCAATATGATCTGTAAGAAAAATCATCATTGTTGTTTTCGATGACTAAAAGTTGCACGTAAACTCCTGCACACTGAATAAAATTTCCCATCGACGTCGGCAACATTTCGGTATAGAAACTGGTGTTGAAGCAATCAAAGTCGGTCTTGGTCTCCGGATCACTTCTTTAAGTTCTCGGTCTCTGAATCGAGAGCATTTTTTTCTCGGCCTTGGACTTCATTTTTAAATCAAGACCACCACTGACAGACTATTTTTCTACGCCTCTTTTTAAAAGAACAAAAAACTTCAATTCATTTGTAGTTTTTTTTTTTTATCCCCCGGTTACGACTGCAACCTTCCCGGTGTTACAGTCCAATTGAGTGACACGACCCCTAAACACAGGATGATGATGTTTCAGTGATATTTAAGGTCTTGACTCGGTCTTTTATGTTTTGGTCTTGGTCAGTGTGGTCTTGACTTCAACACCAACAGAAACGTTGCCCATGTTTAAGGTGTGCAGGAGGTTGCTACAACATTTGATGGATTCCTTCCTCTCCTCTTCCTCACTGGTCTTCTGGAGCATGATGTAGTTTCTCTAAAGCCTCCGTACATTCCGATCATTAAATTACGACTGTTTTAAAACAGGTGGTTTTGAAAGGTTTCAAAGAATCATTTTGAAAACCTTGTGAGACACGTTCATCGTTAATACGTTTCCTTCAAGCATCCTCAGACTTCTCTTTGTTTGTGGAGCGTCTGGGTTCATTTCATTGCACCAGATCATTTGAGACTTTTCTTTTCAGATAAAGGAGGGGGACGCTGACGTCATCCAGGTGTTAAAGCTTCTGTCGTTAATGAGCTGACACACTGAGGTAGATGTTTTTAAACAGATATACAGCATTTTGATCAAAACCCCCCAAAAAACACAATCGAAAAAACATTCAAAATCATCCAAAGAAAGTCAGATGTGAAAATGTCTGCGATCGATGCGTTTCAGCGGAACAGTTTCCACTCAAGACATTCGTCGCTGCCCGCTGGAGCTGCTTTGTTTTTACCAAGGCAAACAAAAGATTTAAAAAAACATGACAACAACTCGAACACATTAGCAAAAATGTGAAAAACTACAAAATAATCACGTGGCTGATTCCTCCCCAATATAAAACACATACAGTATGATACCGTAAAAAATAGAGATTTAGAAACAAACTCCGCCGGGCGAACAGAATTATCATGATGAGCTTGATGCAGACGAGCGGCTCTTGTTGTTGTTGTTGTTGTTGTTGTTGTTCCCGTGTTTCAGATGAGCGATGCTGGCTTTGAGCCGTCAACACAAAAGTCTCTTTCTTCTGTTTGCATGCTCTACTTTCACAGCATGCAGTAATATGTTTTGGTTTGAATATGATCGTACAGACAGGAATCTCTATTCTCTATAATCTCCCACAAACATCGACGCGTGAATATACCGTGTGCTGGACTGCGTCAGCCGGCGGCGGCCATATTTGAAGAGTCGTCAGGTGATTCAAGTAGTGAAGTTTGTCGTACCTCAGAGTCCGACTGAAGCTTCAGTCCTCTTACTGGGGTTTGTGTTTATGTTGTGTTTTATTCCTTCATCAGTGAGAACGAGGAGGAGGAAGAGGAAGAGGAAGAGGAGGAGGAAGTTTTCTCTTTTGGTTTGACGAAGGAGGCGCCGCTCATCTTTTTTTCACCTGAAACAAAACAAAAAGGAAACCATCTTTAATAATCAGAAACACCTGGATGATTTACTTTCTTCACATCGACCCGGTTTCTTCTCAAAGAGACTAAACTGCACGCTCAGCACAAAAAACACTCGAGCACCTGCAGAGTACAAACTGAGAACACATTATTATAAAGGGCTGCACGCTCACATCTATATATTCCTCTTTTCACTGTCCCACTCTCTCTCTCTCCCTCGCCCACACACACACACACACACACACACACACACACACACTCACACTCCAGGCCATCTCCATCACTACAGTCACATGCTGAGGAAGCAGAGCCAAGGACAGGACAAACCAGCAGCCATCACCTCCTGTTCGTTCTGTCCTGTCTGTGCACGCAGAGAGCGCCGCGCTGCTGTAACACATCGCCACCGAGACAAGCGCCGACGACGTGGAGGGTCAGTCTGACCTGCAGAGGAAACTATAGGGAACATGAAGACCTGCAAAACTGTGTCTTAAAAACAGTCTGTCTGCAGAGACAATCCTGCAATGAGCACGATCTGTCCTGGAATGTGTTGAGGGGGGATGGTGGAGAATTCGTGCTTTTACATTTTTAATTCATGCATTCACTTTTGTATTTTTGAGTCGTATAAAAAACCTGATGACATCGTCTTCCTTTTATTTCTAATCCTGCTCGAGAACATTCAAACCAGCCCTAAAAAAAACCTGACCTTTATGTTTCAAGAGGAATCCCACTGGAGGCAGAATTCACTGTACAACTTTTTTAACTGGCCAAGAAATCCTTCAGAAGATCTCTCTGCACATGAATATTTCAGAGGCATGATTATATAATGAAAGTAAGTAGCACAAGACGAGAAGTCTCCGTCTACCTGTGACAAACTGTGCAGCTACCAGCAGGGCCCCTCTGAGAGTGAAAACCCTCGGGGGGGCAGCAGAAGATTTTATTCTGTCATTGACCCAGTTTTATCCCAGTTTGAAAACACTGGTGGGAATCTTTTGCAGCCACAGACACCGTTAAAAAAAAAAAACCTCCAGACAGGAAGTGATGAGCTGCATGAGACAGCGAGCGGACGGCGATTTTGGACCAGAAGCAGTCGGACCAGCTGTGTGCTGCGCGTCACTCTCTGTGCTGTTTGTGGAGCTTCACTTCACTGCAGCAGACTCAGGTGATATCAGCTGACTTCTGTCAGCATGGCTGCACATTCTCCGAGTAGTGTGTGCTAAAAATAGACGGTTCTCCAGGAAGAGGAAGTATCAGGTATAACAATCAGATCAAAAGGGACGAGGGCCGGTTTATCAGCGTTTAGTGTTCCTGACTACCTGCTGCATCACAAGTGATCCAAACGACTTAACAATCACACTTCACACTGTGTTATTGAGAATGCTCATATCACGATAACGATGAGATTGTCATGGTTACGCAGCCCTGTTAGCTCGTTACAGGAAGTCACTGTGGATACAACGCACGGCCTTTCACATGTTGTTCAATACTTGGGATAAAAGCCAAACAACGCAAAGAACAACTTCCTGGCTGTGAAACTGGATCATCCTATAGAAGTACACGCATGCAATAAAAGCAAACTCTCCAGCCAATCAGAATGCAGTATTCTCTGCTGCTATGCTAACAGCTGTAATGCATATTTAGTCTGAGCCGAAACATGAATCTTCCTGTATCACAGAAGCAGCTTCTTCTTCTTTATCAGTGTGACGATGTGTGTGTGTGTGTGTGTGTGTGTGTGTGTGTGTGTGTGTGTGTGTGTGTGTGTGTGTGTGTGTGTGTGTGTGTGATGCTGTCGCCATGGAGACCGCAGCCCAGCAGCTGCTGTCAGTGACAGTTTACTGTTGTGTTGGTTCGAGGTCTCGTGACCGTAATTCATCAAGTGTGAGTGACAGAGTCTTTAAATAACGCTGAGCTTTGACCTGAATGAGCCGCTCACACCGAGCCGAAGTGACAGCTCCTGCTTTGAGAATAGAACCTTAGAAATACTTATTGATTTAAGACGCCGTACTGTCAATCAATCAGAGCGTCTCCGCTCACATTTATGAATGAATCATCACACAGCCAGGAAGGAAGAGACGAACCATTTTCAGACATCCATCCGTTGAATATACGACCGATTGTTACCTTTTGAATTAAACCAGCAAAACCAGTTTTCTTATAATGTCTCGTAAAGATTAGAAACCTCATTTTGATATATTCAGACAAATCTGAAAAAACAGCTGGATCTGCTTCTGTTGTAAAGTCTTACAGATTTACCAGCAGCTACTGGAATGTTTACTGTTAGATTAAACAACTGTCTGTAAATATTAACGGATGGAGTCTGAGTGTTGTCCCCCGTCTGTCCCTGCAGGGGGCGCTGGAGTTCCATCGATGGCGGTCTCCATGCTGGAAATGCTGTCTCAGTCTAACTTTCAGTCAACCTAACGACAGGCTGAGAGCTGGAGCTGAGGCGGGTTTTAAACCTCCTGACAAACCGTTACACCGCGCCCACCTGTCAATCAGGTCAGCTACACGCCTTATTGTGAATAACTCTTATCCTTCATCAAATCAAAACTGATGAGTCATCAAAACATTCACCCCCCGTACAGTGTGTGTCCATCCAGACATGAGCTAATCACACCTATTTGGTTTTTTGAACCAGGCTGTAAACATGTTCATCTCTGCTGTAAAAACAGGCTTTTTAGAATGGGTGTGTATGTGACTTCCTGTGCTTCTGCAGCCAGCCTCTAGTGGACACTCCAGGAACTGCAGGATTTTTTGCACTTCCAGATGGCTTCATTTTTGGATAAAAATAAAAATCTCTCTTTCTCTCTCTCTCTCTCTCTCTCTCTCTCTTTCTCTCTTTGGGATGAGCCTGTTTGTCTTTCATGAAGTAGAAAAGGAGTGTGTGGGGGTGGACGTAAGGTGGTGGTGGTGGGGGGGGGGGGGTGTAACTCACTGCAGGCCACTCGGGGGCTTCAGGACAGATTCTCTCAGCGCTGACAAAGACGCTAATAATAGCTGTCAGAGTGTAACTCTGCCTCGTCAACAGCAGCAGTGTCATCCAAGGGGAAACCTGTTTACCTCCGCCTTCACCGCCCGCATATGTTCAAGAGGACACGTAGGACAGGAGGGCGTGGGGGGCGAGGGGGGGGGACTTCACAGGAAGAGATTGGGACCAAAAAGCCTCCCAGGGGGGACACGGTCAGTTAGCACGATGCTGTTGGAGCTGTCATGTCTCCTCTCTCTCTCTCAGGCTGACATGAGCTGCCGTGTTATGTAACTGACAGGGTGGATGAGAGGTGGAGGAGGTGGAGGAGAAGCCTGGGCTCCATGCAAATATGATTTTAGCTTCCTCCATCAGCTTTACATGATGTTGGAGCTGCAGACAAAAACATCTTCAAACACAGCAGCTGATTGTCTCAGGCCTTAGCAGACACCGACCGTCCTCCAGCGACACAAACTGTCTTTATAAACCGTTCTCAAGCTGTCCTCCAGCTACACCAACAGTCCATACATAAAAAAACATTTTAGGGTCACTAAAAATGGAGCTCCTTACAGAGTGAAGACGTTCATAACCCACATTTTTAGTGATGATGTGAAGACAAGAAAACTGAACATTTGGGGTCACAAGACGTCTGTGAGACTGTTTCAACAACATCTGAAAAGATTTATTCTTTTTTAAAGGATTTATTTGCAGAGGTGCAACTCTCTACTTTTAGTCTTCAGCTGTGTGTCATACCTACAAAGGGTCTTGACGTGTGAGGAGCTTGATGAGGTAAACTGAATTACCTGTGAGACTCAGAGCAGCTGGACTGAGAGAAGTTAGAAGAGCTGAAACTCCCTCTCAGAACTTTAAAGAAAGGAAGGAGAGGGATTTACAGACAGTTTGTCTTTAACAGGTTTTTTTTCCCTAACAGTCACTTGAATCCACTGATGGATGTCAAACATGTTTCATGCTTTTATTTAGTCTCCTTTTTTTTTTTTTTTTAAATATAGACATAAATTAGGGATTTTTCTCCCAGTCACATCCAAGAAAAACAAAATCCCTGACTGTGATTCAAATTGTTATAGAAGTCATTTCACAGTGGCTTTCCTGGGCCCTCTTGAAACCCTGACACACAGCCAGAGGTCAAAAGGTCACAGCGTTACACCAGCAGACACGACCTCCACACACTTCAGGTCATCTGCAGATTTAAAAGCTGCAGCTGAGACGATGGCTGTTAAAAACCTGAGACAGCAGGGGGGAACTGATGCTCCAGCTGTGGTGTCTCCTAACAGCTGCAGAACTCAGAATTCCTGCAGCTGCTGCTGCCACCTGCAGGCCCACAGCTGTACTACTGGCCATACACACACACACACACACACACACACACACACACACACACACACACACACACACACACACACACACACACACACACACACACACACACACATTAATCCTGTCAGCAGCGTTTACAGGTTGGAATAAAAGAAGTCGGTTGTTCTCAAAGAAGCAGAACAAAAGACAGATAAATCCTCTAGAGTTTCTTGTCCTTTTAAAGCTTCTAGTGAGTCAACAAGATCCTTTTTTTAGAGCCTTTTTACAGATCATCAACATTATTACAAAAGGATAAAAACATGAGTGTTAAAGAAGAATGAGAGGATTCCCATTCTAATCATTTAATGACACAATTTGTGTTTTTTAGCACAGCTGGATGACCGACCAGGAGAAACAGGAAGCTAAAATTAAGTTCATACATTAACTTCACACCTTCAATCACCTGACAAACAGACTTATACCGAGTCCGCCTTCCCTTCATCTTGTTTGTCAGGGACAGTCTGGGCCGAGATCAGCTCAAGACCGTACCCCCCCTCCTGAGTCTCCCTCGTCCTCCCAGACCAGCCAACATCCTCTCCCATCATAATCATCATCTCAACAACATCTCTCTCATCATTCATATGCTCTATCATTAAATATCTAAAACACAGATTGTTGTGAAACTCTCAGGCCCTCGAAGGCTTCAAGGTCAAAGAATGAAAATCAATATTTAGCCTTAATGTGACTTTGTTCATGTGCTCTGTTGCTCCAAAGACTTGTGTGTCAAAACGAAGTTTGAATATCACCTTGCACGGTGCTTTCTCAGAAACATTTGTACAAAGTGGTTTCCTTGAAAATGTTCTAAAATTAGTTTGATTCAGAGAAGATTTATTGTTCGTTGAGCCTAAATTAACTTCCCACTGCTTTATGCAAAATGATCCTTTAAAGAAGACAAGAAAATTACTAAATGTTTTTTTTTTGCAGTTTGCTGAAATTCAACACTGTTCTGAAAAAGGCTCCAGGCGTGAAGCAGCTCAGGGGCGAGCGGAGACCAAAGACCAGAGAGAGAGAGAAATGAACTGAATAAACTCCAGTCAGTATTCTCTTTTTTAAAGCGTCTTCTACTGCCCCCTAGTGGACGAGACTCGCTACATGCAGCTTTAAATCTCTGATTCTTCAAGACAAATGTGATTTATGGGGCCTGACTGGTCTGGGGCCCCTTACTGGTCTCGGGCCAGTTGTCTGCCTTGCCTATTGCCAAGCAGCGCCTCTGCTGGTTTCCCTCTTTTTGTGTTTATTTCATGTTCCCCTCTTTTCTAAGAGCACCCAGGATCTTTTTTCATCTACTGTGATCAAACCCCCCCCCCCCCCCTTTTATTAAACTGAAGGTCAGGTGTTACTCACCTCTTTGTGAGTCCAGGCCAGCAGGTGTTAGGAATCATTTGGTCATCGTGTCGATCGTCTCCATCAACCCCGTCAGATTTATAATCCAACAAACGTGTGGCCTTCACTGTCTTTTTATTCCTTCAGTATTTGTTTTTTAAACTCCACGAGGTTCCGTCGCTGGAGTCCACATGAGTTAAGGTGCTTTAACGACAGAGACCACCATGAAGACCTCGACTCCCCTCTCCTCTCGCTGTGCAATCAAAGACTTCTTCTAAAGTGGATCCATGTGTGTGTGTGTGGAAAGTATCTGAAAAAGTGCTGAAGAATCCATTTCTATCATTCATGAACTGATTCTAGTTTCATTATTTTATATCATTTACGTTTCTTAGATCAGTTGGAAGTTTTCGTCAGGGGAATTTAACTTAGGACATTAGATTTCAGGACATTTTTACTCAACAATTAACTGCAGAATATTAAATAATGCCAAAACTGATATTCACTGAGATGCATTTGTCTTATATTCATGTTCTTTAATAATAATTTTGTCTAAAATCAGTGCTGATTGAGCTTAAAAAAATACGCAAATTAAATATTTTTTCATCACAAATTAGAGGAATATGTTTCTTCATAATCAGAATCGATGCTGCAGCTCTCCTGGATGGAAATATCTACAATTTCCAACCCTCAGTTTGATCTCTAGCGGATATTTTTTATATTTTGTAGACGGAACTGTGATCTGAAAATAACTAATAATAATTAGATAATTAGAATATTATTTAGCTGCAGTCGACTTTGGACCATTAGGAGGGATCATATTCTCTGTGGGACTAAGGTGCAACAGGTCGAACGCCCGCCTGATAATTCATCATATTTCATATATTTAATGAGTTTTTCTGCGTCAGGCCGAGCTGCTGAATCAAAACAACATGGAGGCTTCCACAACATGGTGGTTTTTCTGACTTCGTCTCCGCAGCTCCAGCTTCTTCCTTTTTTCACTCCTGTGGCAGATAACACAGGAGAAAAGTCTGGAAGGTTGCTATAGAAACTGCATCACACGAAGACAAGAGATGCAGGGCGTGGTTTCAGCCACACGGGGGCGCTCTTGGATTTGGAAAAAAAAAGGCTGCTTCTGATTTCATAATATTTTCACACAGGCAGAGGCTGCTGAGGAGGATTTAACCTCCTGGAGTCTGTGTGGCAAAAAAGAAGGTCTGCGTGCCCTGGTTTCTGTCTGGCAGGCTGTGTTAAGGGTTCAAATCAAATCTGGCGTCAAAGTGGGTTCATTTTAGGATTCATCATCTGAGCCTGAGTGGAAAATACATGAGGGTGAAATAACAGGTGTGTGTGTGTGTGTGTGTGTGTGTGTGTGTGTGTGTGTGTGTGTGTGTGCGCGCGCGGGACCACAACAACAACAGCCTCCACGTGCCAGCTGCATCAGAGTGTAAATTTAGATTGAATTGGTCCTGCGTCGTTTTCTCACAAAAGCAAAATGTAAACTTTAAAAACCTGCATCATTAGGGCAATAAATTACTAAGAGAAAGATTAATAATCATAAAGTGCTACAGCTGGCTGATCGTTCTGAAGCGTTCTCCTGCTCATGGCGCGCGTAATGGAAGACAGTTAGGAGGTGAAAACAAAAGGTGATTTCTCAGGTAATCCGTCCTCTGTGAGTCTGAAATGAATCCCTATGATGCCGGAAACAAGGATCTCAAACACAGTCAGACATCGGTGAGCTTCCCGGTGTAGGCTTTGTGCGGGCTGCAGTTGGTGTACTTGATGGAGTCCGCGTCCTCGCTGTCCAGGTACTCGGACTTGCACAGGCTCGGTTTGCTGTCGCTCTTGTTGAAGTCTCCAAACGCCGGCTGCTGCTGGCCGCAGGTCACGTGCGTGTACTGGAACTGCTCCTCGTGCTCGGTCTCGCGGTGGTAGAAGTAGTTGAAGTTGGAGACGATGACCGGCACCGGCAGCGCGATGGTTAACACGCCGGCGATGGCGCACAGAGAGCCCACGATTTTCCCGCCGATCGTAACCGGGCACATGTCCCCGTAGCCCACTGTTGTCATGGAAACCACGGCCCACCAGAACGCGTCCGGGATGCTGCTGAAGCCGGAGTCCGGGTCGTCCGTCTCCGCGAAGTAGACCGCGCTGGAGAAGAGGATGACTCCGATGAAGAGGAAGAAGATGAGCAGTCCCAGCTCCCTCATGCTGGCCTGCAGGGTCTTCCCCAGGATCTGCAGACCCTTAGAGTGTCGGGAGAGCTTAAAGATCCTGAAGACCCGGACCAGGCGGATGACCCTGAGGATGGCCAGAGACATGGCCTGCTGTCCGTTCCCCTGGTGCTCCGCCAGCTCCAGACCCAGCGTGATGAAGTAGGGCATGATGGCCACGATGTCGATGGTGTTCATGATGTTCTTGAAGAAGGCGGGCTTGCTGGGGCAGGCCAGGAACCGGACCAGCAGCTCGAAGGAGAACCAGATGATGCAGAGGGTCTCCACAATGAAGAACGGGTCCGTGAACGGGTTTGGCTTCTTTGCGCGCGTGGTTCCATTCAGCGCCAGCTCGTCGTCAAACGTTTTGGCTTCTTCTCTGAACTCAGGTAAAGTCTCCAGGCAGAAGATGACGATGGAGATGAGGATGACCAGGACGGAGACGATGGCGATCCCCCGGGCAGGTCCGGAGCTCTCCGGGTACTCGAACAGGAGCCAGACCTGCCGCTGGAACTCGTTCTCGGGCAGAGGTCGCTCCTCCTCCTTAATGAAGCCCTCATCCTCCTTAAAATTCTCGATCACCTCCTCTCCCAGCTCGTAGAATTTGATCTCCTCCATGAAGATGTCCACGGGCACGTTGACGGGTCTCCGGAGCCTCCCCCCTGACTGGTAGTAGTACAGGATGGCATCGAAGCTGGGTCTGTTCCGGTCGAAGAAGTACTCGTTACGCAGCGGGTCGAAGAAGCGCATCCTCTTCCTGGGGTCCCCCAGCAGCGTGCAGGGGAACTGGGCCAGGGTCTTCAGCTGCGTCTCGAAGCGCAGCCCGGAGATGTTGATGACCACGCGCTCACAGCACTCCTGGTTCTCCACGCACTCCGGGTCGTACACATCCTGGGCTGACAGCGCGGCCAGTGCCACAGTCTCATCCAGGTTCTCTCCGGGCACCACTGTCATGTTTCCCCCCCCAGACAAGGGCGCCGCGTCCCGCTCCTCAGTCCTCTCTGCTCCCCCTCAGCCTTTGTTGTTGCTCGGTGTGTCTTCGTCACGTCTGCGGGTGAGCTGCTTCCTCTGGCATTGTTCGTGCCCCCCCACCACCACCACCACCTCCACTCTCACCTTTTCTCCGTCCACGCTGCTGTAGTCTGGACTCGGCTGTCACATTCACTGCATCTTAAGCAGGCTTTGCCCTCCCCGCGCTGACGTGTGTGTGTGCACGCTCTCTCACTGAGGGGGGGAAACAAAAACACACACACATGCACGCACATAAGCTCATCATGAATCCAGGTATTTTTGAAAACACAAGCATCAAATATCATCGGAAATATCCACATTGTCCTACATTTCGTGCACAAAAAGAGTCGTGCGTAATGAACCTGTTGTCTCCAGCGTGGCACGGGTTCAAGGTTATCACTGGAGTTGTTGTTTATGATGCGGTGGCGCGTAAAGATGAGCATGCATTTGTGAATGAATCCGTCTGGAAACGTGGAAAGCTCGAGAATGTCGTGCAAAAACAATTTTCATGCAAAGAAAAAAAAATGTGTTTTTTCATTCATGCTTTGAATGGATACCTGTAGCTCAGAGCTTTTGTCCTCCTCCTTCCACACACACCCTAACCCTCCACAGATGACACACTCACGGAGACACACAGATTCCAGTGCAATGTCACGCTGCAGCCGCCTCAACACAAAAAAACCCTTGCTGACGTTTCCACACCAGCCTGCACGCCGCCGAGCTCCACAAGTTGTGCACGACTTGCAGGATCCGTCATGTCTCCGCGCTGCCTGCTGCAGGGAAACAAGACATGTGTTCTTCTATTTCCTGCTCCAAATATGAAGGATTTAAAAATGCAACGTGCCTCTGAATAAAAAGGTAAACAGTGCAGGGCTGTGCAACAAGTAGAAAAAAACAAAAAAAGCTGAGCTGTGGATGATGGAAAGAAGGAGTTTCTGGGCTGCAGCTCAAAGCAGTGACGTGTTCTCCTAAAATAGCTGGATTCCTCTCAGGGCTGCAGGAAAAGTTTCTTTTCCCATGGAATGGCCCGAGGGAGCAGCAGGGGGAAAATGAAAAAAAAAAAATGAGATGACATGAAAAAGGAAAAACACAGATTTACATCTCAGAGCAGCCAACACAGAAGAGAGAGAGAGAGAGAGAGAGAGAGAGAGAGAGAGAGAGAGAGAGAGTGTATGTGGGAGTCATTCAGAAATAATTCCTGCTGTTTAACAGGCAGGATGAGAAGCACCTGAATCTACCTTCAAACATCCAAACAAAGACCAGATCAGGAATGCAGAACAACATGGGAATGAACACTGAAATGTTTCTTTACATTGAAACTGAAATAAATTCATACTGATGAAGCAGCAGGGTTGTCACTTACAACTTGTTCTCGTTGTTCTTGTCTACAGCCCCCATTGTATGAAAAACGAAACATAGACACCCTCAAAGCAGCGGACAGAAAGAAAAAGGAATGTAAAAATGATGTCACTATGTTTCATGAAAATTGGACGAGTAGCTTTTCTATAAAGATCTTCAACTACACTACAACCAATACTTGTGTTTTTGATCAGGTCATGGGCGGTTCTAGGCAGGGCCAACAGGGGCCAGTGCCCCTGGAACACTGAGCTTGGACCCCCCTGTGGCCACCCCTCCAAAAGGAAGAGCCCCCCTAATAACACATACACAGTGACTCAACAACCGGACTCACAATCTAAGTATTTAATTCTGTTACTGGAACAAAAATAAATTCTTTTTTTAAAGCGACCATCTTTGTCTTTTTTTCACCTGGGTTTAATGTTCCCCTCTGACAAAACAACTGGCCCCAGTTTGGCCCCCTCAGTAAAAATGGTCTAGAACCCCCACTGGATAAGGTAGGACCCCTTGTGGTAATACAAAATATAGTAAGCATAGACTGCTCAGCAAGACCGAGTCAAAATGCTTTCAAGAGACCGAGACCTTCAAAAAGTGTTCTCAGGACAAAGAACGATTATGAGTACTACAACAGTTATCACTTCCTGAAGTCGGCAATATTTGAAGTGAATTAGAGTAGCTTGTGTTAGCTCACTCGGCTAACAAGGATGCGGCCATCTTGTTTTAAACTGACAACCAATCAGAGGCTGCACCTGCAATCAGCTGACATGTAAGAACCAATGAGAAGCCAGAGAAGCCTGGGACACATGTCACAGGTGCTCTCAGCATAGAAATACAACAGATAGAACTGATTTGAATGTATTGATGCTGTTCAGCTCATTCTAGTATCATAGATCTGTGCTCTAAATATAATGTGTGTCTTTGAATAAATACTTCTTACACACTCCTGAACTTCCAGATCGATTTAACAGAAGGTCAGTTCTTACAGTTATGGTCAAATGGATCATTTAAAACACAAAGCGTCTCAGGGTTTTTCTCTAATAAATGGCCCCTGTTTTTGATCTGTGATGTGTAAAGTGTTTATTTCACCTCCTCCTGATCACCAGCACACAGGAGAACTCATTAAGAGGCCAAATGTCAGAGTCTTGGTTGTTCTACGTTTTATTTTAACACATATCTGTGAAATTTTATTTTCGTTTTTATTTTAAAATGTTGTATTTCTGGGTTTGAATTAATATTTGGGACATTCTGGTTCCCCACGTTGTCCTGAAAACGTCGATCTAATCAATCTAAAAATTAAAGGTCCACAACGTTTAGATTTGGAGGATTTTTTCGTCCAATCAGAGGAGCCTCAGATGCCCGTGGGACAGTGAAGGACACACGAGCTTCGATATGAAATGATGCAACAGTTTTAAAAACGAAACCCTGTGTTTGACTCATCAGACTGACTCACTCTGAAATCCTCACTTCAGCTGCCTGCATGACCTCCACAGTCTGCCACTACCTCATATCCTGTAGCACACACACACACACACACACACACACACACACTCTCTCTCTCTCTCTCTTAAATGTCTCTGTGGTTCTCTGGTGGATTCTTTGGCAGAGATTCGTCTCTGCTTCGGTCCAGGTTTCTGTTTCCCGTTGGACTGCAGGACGTCTGCGAGGCCTCAGGCACACACACACACACACACACTGCATACTGTGTGTGATGAGGTCACCTCGTACAGTCACATGTCACTGTTAGACCTTAAATGTCACATTAAGTCTGCTTTCTAAAGGGCATCAGTTAAAGATCACGTAAAGAGTTTGACTGTTTTTATTTGGAACTAAAAATAATCTGAAGACGGAGGAAAAGGTTTCTTCTGCTTTTTTTGTTTTTATTTGGAGTCAGAAGTTTCCTCTGCGACATGGACAACATCTAAATCATACAGTTTGAACTGAAGCAGCTAATGAACGAGGCTAACGTGTTAGCATCAATCAGTGTTTAACTTAAGTCTAAACACACCGATTCATGATGAAAAGGAGCCAGCTGTCTCTAAAAGCTCTCACTGTCAGCTGTCACATCTCACTGTCATCTCATCTAACCACTGTACGTTCATTTGATTACACAGGACGAGCGATGTTAAGAGGCGCGCTGCTCCCTGCAGAGAGCCGACGACTCACTGATCCCCGACCGACGCAGCTGATGATAAAACAAGACAAACAGGTTCCATTAAATCCCAGCTGCTGAACACACACATACGTCCAAATGCAACATCTCAGTGTGTCTGAAACGGATTCAAATATCAGTCTAATATCTCCCGTCACCGCTGGGATGAGGCCTGCATTATGAAACCATGTCACATGTTCCTCTCAGTCCCCTGGCAGTGTCTCATGTCTTGATTTCACACTCGTTTAAAGCAGGTTTGGAGAGCATGTGTGCAGCATGTTCCACTCTGCAGAATTCAGCTAACATCGACACCATGCAGATTAAATCAGGGTTTGTTTTTGGGGGGGGTCTGCTGATGGAGGCTCTGATGCTCAAAGAGAATAAATAAATGGTTTCATGTGGAAGAAAAGTCAGATATTTGAGTTGATAATGAGCTCCCTTAAAAAAGTATTGAGAACAAGAGCAAGAAGTAAAACGAGAGAAAATAACCAATCAGCGACTTCACCTTTGAAATGCTATTCATACTCGCCCCTAGTGGTCGTTAATAGTAGTGTTCTAATATTGTCAACATTTTCCCTGCTTAGTAACTTTTAGATGTTTATGGCTTAAAGGCTTTATATGTGATTTTTTGATCCAGCAGATGTCGCCCTTGAGCACCAGCATGAAACTAAAACAGCTTGCGCTGCATTGTTGTGTTAGCATGCTAATGCTAGTGATCTTTATTATGCTGGTATCTTCACACTGCATGTAAATTTACCTGAAATGAGCGTGATCTAGAAACACAGTTAAGCAGTGAGTACAGTATGTTATTCTTCTTTTCTCTAGTCCCTCAATTAAACAACTTTTATACACGAGGGGAGGAGTCAGCCGGCCGTCCGGGCGATGTAAACAAACTGAAGCTAGGACTCTGAAAACTCTGAAAGCATCACAGACAGTGGGACTCGGGTGTTACACCCATTGTAGACAGTCATGACTCACAGAGTTATTTTCAGAGGACATACTTGATTTCTATATTTAAGAGTGAAACATCACAGATTAAGACTTTAAAGAGCGTGATGGTGGTGGAACTTTGTTATGTCACTGTTGCTGAACTGCAAAATGAAGTGCTGACATGGCGTTTGGTTTGTTACTGCGTACTACTGGACTGTACCGGACTTCTTTCACCTCTGCTACTATCATTTCTAAGTTTAAAATTCCGGTATTTTAGCAAACGGACAATGAACACACTAAGAAAAGATCACAGACTATCCAGAAAGTGTTGTTCATGAATCAGCAGAATAAAGTGAAGTCTAAGCATGAAAGGTTAAAGACGTACTGCTGATGGAGATCTTCAGACTCTGTGTGAAAGCTTTCTGTTGTGATGTTTCCGCTCACAGCGACCTGCTGACCTCAGCATGTCGGCCATTTTTCATGTCAGACTCTTTAAGTTGTCCAGAAGCACGCAGTTCAAAAAAAATCACCAGCATTTATAATAATGACAGCAGAAAGATTCAGAGGGTGGGAAAAATGCTCCATATGCACTCAGAGAGTGTGTGTGTGTGTGTGTGTGTGTGTGTGTGTGTGTGTGTGTGTGTGTGTGTGTGTGTGTGTGTGGTGTGTGTGTGTGTGTGTGTGTGTGTGTGTGTGTCAGTTCACAGTGAACCATTCATAACCAACAAACAGGGATGTCCAAAAACAACCCGAGGAGCGGGTCATGTGTGTTGTTGTGTACGATCTTCTCTCTGTGTCTCTAATTGACACAAAACTCAAACATCTCGCCTGAAGATACAAGAATTTTAAACTTTGACATGAACGACTTGAGTTCCTTTTTAAGACCATGGCAACACAACTAGAAGTCCTCCTCTAAATAATGGGTCAGTTTTTGATTTTTAATCCAAAAACTTTGTAAATGTTTCTCTTCTGACACGTTGATAATGTCTGCACAGTTTGGGCTCTCTCCGTTTCTCTTGCTTCAGCGTTTTGGTAAAAAAAAATGTGACTGAAGGTTTTTTGTTTTTGGGAGCAAGTGACCACATACTGGTCCAAAAGTGGTCACTTCTGCCTCCTTAAAACAAAATGGCGACAGCTAACAGACCAAACTGGGAGGCTTTAAATGTTCCTTCACAAACCAAGAGTTGAAGGATTCTGCAGCCAAACAAACAGAAAAGATTTTCACAGGCTATGACATTTTAATCAGCTTCAGGCCTAATGCATCAGTTTAAACCTCACAGCATCACACCTCTCAATAAAAACTAGAAACACAGATGGGATGACGGAATATTGAAGGTCATGCTGCTTTCAAATCAGCAGAATCTGGGTTAATGTTTCAGAGAGCTGAAGGGAACCTCGAGGGATTTTAACCATCATGGAGACGAACAAACCGAAAAGTAAAGTGTTGAGTTAAACTGAGACTGCGAGCACGTCTCTGTTAAAGCTTTTGAGAGATGTCGAAGATTTCCTTTAAAGACGGCGGTGTCTCTGATGAGTGTAATTGGTGCGTTGAATCAGGAGGATTCTGTGATCTGCTCCGCACATTAATCTTTAATAGACACGTCTGGATCCGTTTGAGACCTTTGCACCTCATTATAATTATTAACCGCAGCGCAAAAACAAAGCATGAAGAGGAGG